TAATCTTTATAACTTCTTCATTATTAACTTTAAATAATAATAATTGAATAATAAGTACACGTTTGGTCGTTGTTATACTAGTCTTTTCAAGTAAAGCAGTTGAATTACAATTACATGTATGTGTCACACGTACGATTGAAAAATACATGTATATGTGACACGTACGTCTGAACATAACTGAAACGTACCTTTTTCGGGACTCGGTCTCTAGATCTCGGTATCGGCTGCACCAATTTTATTCGGACTGGTCGCAATCGAAAGATACCGATGACATTATATAATAAAAGTGTTTTTAGATTTTTTATTGTGCTTTTAAATTCTGAGTAATTTTAATCTAAAGTTTCAAGATGTGAAAACTCGAGATAAAGCTAGTGGTAGCGTCGTGAATTTGACATCGACATGAACATATACACGCATCAAGTATCATGTTATCATGTCAAACGGTTATATTTTTATTTTATGCACTTGGCGTCGCGACGCTACCGCGTCGCTTGATTCTGCTAGAACTATTCAAATATTTATTAAAATTTAACTTTTCTCAGTGTACAAACTATGAGGCGTTTCAGTAATGCATCAATGATAGCCCATCTTTTTATGAATAAATTTTACCAAGCAGCCGATAGAGAGGTCTGTATCACTTTAATCGATGAAATTTTGTTAGTAGTTTTTTTTAATACTTAATAAGGTGTAATTAACGCTCTAGAATTTGCTTTTTTTTAAGTATAAATATTATTACCCAGTTAGAAAGTGAACGTTATTTGTTATTAAGATGTCTTTAATGTAATCTTGATAAACAATGTCTTATTACTTGACAATGAATAATTATTTTATAAACGCACAAAACTATAGTAATTTTTTTATCATCCTACACGTCATATACAATTACCTGCTTTTCATATAATTTGTTTTAATTCATATAAATTTTTGAAAATTTTAATAGTGTTTTGTGAGTATAATAAATATAATTTTTTTAAATCCATTAAAATAAAAATTACGTAAAGATCTGTACATATAAGATCCTGGTAATTGTTCACTTTAGGGGAGCCACCTCCAATGACCTTGACATTGACATATGTTGTCAAGGTCATGACCCTGAGTAACCTCCAACAAGTTTTAGCCGTCGCTCGCTCTTCGTTAAAAAGTTATGATCAAAAAAAGTTTGAAAAATTACGTTTTATTTCTATTATACAGCGTGACTTCCAAGCTAAGTATTGATGTATTTTTTGATATAATGGCTCGTTTTAATCCACCATATCGCAATCAATGAATAATTTATTCAATAGTAATAAAATATATACTAATAAATACTTCTGAATTACTTCTGCAATACATGTATGACGTTAAGTACTATTCTACACCTTTCCGTATTCAGAAACGTTAAACTTTCTACGCGAAGTAACTTTCACCCCCCCTTCCCTGCAAAGGGGCACACGACTTCCATGATTATACTGTTGCTATGATTGTACTGTCGGGGCAGACCTTTATCGACGGTGTGAATGCGGGGGGGGGGGCGAAGGCCACCCCCTTGCACCCGCCCGTGTGTGGGCGTGTGTGTGGGTGGGTGTGGGTGTGTGGGTGTGTGTGTGTGTGTAAAATATAAATATTTATTAATTCCCATGTCAAAATCTTTTACATATACATAATCAAATACACTAATAAACGTAATAAGTGTTTTGGTATAATGTTATTACGAAATTGATTAACAGAACAATCGTTCCTCACAATATTAATTATGAATGAGAATAATATTTTGAAAATGTATACTTTATGAAGATACACGTGATTGAAAACTGTAACTCACACACATGTGCTTCAAAATCTTGAATCAAATATAGTGTTCTAGGTGAGAGATCAAAATAATAATTTTTTATATTTCAAAAATAAATCACAAAAGATCAGTATTAATTTTAATAAAATTTTTATACCAAATTGTTTATTGTAACGTAATACATTTTATTACTGAAAGATAATGAAATAGAAATCAATATCTATGTAAAAATCCTTGGCATACATAATGAGGTATTCAAGTACATGTTCCAGTTAGACTTAGTCAAATCAGAAAGTTCGGAACTGTTGAGTATTACTGAAGAAGAAGAGAAGGGAACTATTGTTTTTTTTATCTTACTATTTTCCTAAATCTAATGGCACTTATCATTTGTACGCCAAGTTAAATTCTAACATTGCACATCCTTCCTTCTTTTATTTCACTATCTTGTCATATAATATGGATTTTTCCCATAAAATATATCGTTTAATTAACTAGTCTTTAAAAATTCTATCTCTAAAGATCTAAGAGGCACCATCCATATACACTTAATTAATTCTAATGACATATATCTTTTGTATGTACATATAAACTTACCTTTTAAAAAAAAAGGTAGGAAAAAGCGCTAAGAGTGGGTGCTGCTGGTCAAAAAACCATTTGGGCCAGTTTCACCAACGTCAATTACTTAATCGACTGTGAAACTGACCAATCACATTTGCTGTTTAGTAGAACCATCTTTAAAAACCTACGTGATATTATCCTTATTTACTTAATTCTAATGACATGTATCATTTGTATAAAAGATTTAGTATCAATAGTCGGCGCCAAGTTAAATTCTAATCTTTAAAAACCTACGTGATATTATCCTTATTATTTACTTAAATCAATGACATGTATCATTTGTATATAAGATTTGATATCAACAGTCGGCACCAAGTTATTCTACCTTATTCCTTACTTAATTTTAATGACATTTATCATTTGTATACAAGATTTGATATCAACAATCGGCGCCAAGTTAAATTCTACCAAAAAGTAAAACACAAGTGGTACCTTTAATCTTTAAGAACCCATATAGTACTATTATTTAAATTCCACTAAATTAAAAAGTAAAACCTAAATGGAATTATCTTTATGTTCATACAATGAAACCTAAGTATATGCCTTTGTATTCTTATTGAAAGGTCTTCCTATTCGAAACTAAGTGATTTAATTCTTCTTTAAAAAAATTATATCACAATTAATTTTTAAAAACAAAATGAAAAAAGTTTATTTAAATAGAAAAATTTTTTATGTAAAAACACTTCGCGCTGCTAGTTCGCGATCTCGATTGTAATAAAGTACAATAATAGAGATAAGAAACATTTTCACGAGAATTAAAGTATTTAGTGTGTATATATTCGTGTATATGTATGCGCGAGTGAATTGTATCTCAATTCCAATATAATAACTGTGGAGACAGAACAGCGCGCTACAGCACTGTCTCCGAACAGAGTCGGGCGCGCACGAACCGGGGCGAGAAGGGGGAAAAAGAAGGACGCCCGAAGGGAAAAAGTGTGGTGCGAGAAAACGTGGTGTGAATGTAACGAGCAGGCGTTTTGTGCAAGGACAATTACCGATTATTTTGACAAGAGAAATCCCCTGGCGTTACTCGCATTCGCGTGAGAGTAAGGATTTCTCAGTGGCGACGAGGATTCTACAACCTACGCAACATAACCTGAAACCACCATGGAACAATATCTCGCAAAGCTCATCAGCGAAATGCAGGCCGATCGCCAGCAGATAAGATGCAAATAGCGCTCGCTCAGCAGCAACAACAAAGCGACAGACGTATCGAACTACTCATCGCGCAGCTCGCGCAGCGAGATCAAGCCACCGTAATCACACCTGCTGCGACCACAGCCAAGAGCCTCGCCGAACAAATGGTTGCGTTCATCTACGACCCGGACAACAATCTGACATTCGAATCCTGGTACATACGCTACCAAACAATCTTCACAACAGAGGTAAGTGACTGGCCTACGGCTGCAAAAATTCGACTGTTGCTACAAAAATTCTCACAAGCCGACTATCAGCGCTTCGCTGACTCAGTTTTACCTCAAGAGCCAACACAACTCACGCTTAATGTCGCCGTTGAGAAATTGAAACGAATGTTCGGCTACCGCGAGACTAAATTTGCAATGCGACACAAATGCTTCAGCTTAAAAACAGAAGACACCAAAGATTTTACAACATTCGCTGCTCGCATTAACAAGCATGGTGAAAAGTTTGATGTCACTCACTGCACAGCCGATGACTTCAAGGTCTTGCTCTTTGTTAGTGGTTTAAAAAATCCGCAGGACTCGCTAATTCTTGAGAAGCTACTCGCAAAAATCGACGCCACCAGTGTCAAGCTTGAAGCGGCTACCGACGACGCGGGCCGCGCAGCAATTCCGAAGCTCACACTTCAGGATCTCGTCAACGAAGCTGAACGCCTCACCAGCCTGAAACAAGATAAGTCAATAGTCGGTGGAACAATTACAACACCTGGCTCCACGGAGATCAACGCCGTTCACAAACGCAACAACTATAGCCGCAAATCACGGGGCGGCAGGAAGTCGCCAACTTTCGACAACCGCAGCCTTGACGGCTCAGGCTCTCCCAGCAATAAGAACGCATCACAACCACCTTCGCCTTGCCGTTACTGCGGAGAGAATCATTGGGAGCAAGAATGCGAATATCGTGACAAGAAATGTACAACTTGCTCAGTCATTGGCCACAAGGCCGGATTTTGCGTTTCAGCCTTCGAAGCTGCCGTCCGTCGCTCAAGATTTGATCGCAAACAGCGTCGAACTTCAGATCCCGGCCTGAAGAACAACATTAACCAAATTATGAAAGGATCCAACGCCAGCCAACGCAAGTTTGTCTCACCAAACATCAACGGAGCACGTGTCCGCCTCCAGATAGATTCAGCGTCGGACATCACCATCATTTCCAAAGACAACTGGGAGAGACTCGGGAAGCCCACACTCAAGCCCTGCACAATCCAACCCGGAAGCGCATCCGGACATTCACTCCGTCTCTGGGGATCTTTCCAGTGCACCATGAGTTTCATCGATAAAACGGAAACCGGAACATGCTACGTTTCAACACGCCTCAATTTACTCGGCATCGACTGGATCGAGCAACTCGGACTGTGGAACGTCCCACTTGCCTCAGTCTGTAATGCTATAACTATAGACTCATCTGCCGACGACATCACAAGCAAGGCTAAGTCAAAATTCCCACAACTTTTCGCTGACGGACTCGGGCTATGTACCAAAACAAAGGTTTCGCTCACTCTCAAGCCGGGCACACAAAAGATTTTCCGCAAACAACGACCGGTTCCATTTGCAGCAACAACCGCTGTTGAAGAGGAAATTAAGCGTCAACAGCACCTCGGGGTTTACAAGCCAGTCACGTTCTCAGAATTCGCAGCACCCATCGTCGTAGTCAAGAAAAAGAATGGTAAAACGCGCATTTGCGGCGACTATTCCACCGGCCTTAACGACGCTCTCGAACCAAACAAATTTCCGTTACCAACACCGGATCAAATTTTCACTGCCCTCGTCGGAAATTGTGTTTTCTCCAAAATCGATCTTCCGGATGCTTTCCTCCAACTCGAGCTCGATGATGACGCAAAGAAGCTGCTCACAATCAACACACACTTAGTACTCTTCTAGGTCACCCGCATGCAGCCCGGAGTCAAGACAGCACCAGGCATTTTCCAAGAACTCATGACAACGATGCTTGCAGGTCTCAACGGCGCCTTTGCATTCATCGACGACATTATAATCGGTGGAATTAACAAAAGCGAACACGACAAGCTCCTTTTCGACGTCCTCGAACGCATCCAAGACTACGGATTCAAACTTCGAATCGAAAAATGCGAGTTTGCTCGACCAAGTATCCTTTTCTGCGGACACATTATCGACGCGCAAGGTGTCAAGCCAGATCCCGAGAAGATACAAGCCATTCAAACCATTCCAGCACCGCGTGATATCCACCAGCTCCGTTCGTTCCTCGGGGCAGCCAACTATTATGGAAAATTTGTTAAAAACATTAAAGATCTTCGTGGACCCCTCGATGAGCTCACTCTCAAAGGCGCTAACTTCGAATGGCAACAAAAGCATCAGGATGCCTTCGACAAACTCAAGGAAATTCTAGCATCGGATCTAGTCCTCACTCATTACGATCCTGCCAAGAAAATCGTGGTGGCAGCCGATGCTTCATGCTACGGTAAAGGAGGAGCCATTTTGCATGAATTTTCAGACAGAACACTACATCCAATCATGTACGTCTCATCAACCTTCACAGCAGCCGAAAATAACTACTCGCAGATTCAGCGGGAAGCCATCGCGCTCGTGTTCGCTGTTAAACGCTTTCACAAGTACATCTATGGTCGCAAATTCGAGCTCCACACCGACCATAAGCCTCTCCTTACGATTTTTGGCTCTAAACAAGGCATCCCGGCTTACACTGCAAGCCGCCTCCAGCGTTATGCTCTGATCTTACTCGCCTACGACTTCGACATTAAATACGTCAATACCGGAAGCTTTGGATACGCCGACATCGTTTCCCGCCTCATTGCCAAACATCCACGAGAAAACGAAGATACTGTCATCGCAGCAATTCAAGAGGGAGAGGAGGTAGAACAGTGCTTTGCAATTGATGCCGCAAAATTACTTCCGGTCAAATTCGCTGATATCCAGGAGGCCACACAGCGTTGCGCAACACTCAAGAAGGTCATCGAATTCACCAACACCTCATGGCCACAGAAACGCAACCAGATCCGGAATCCCGAAGTCGCTGCTTTCTTCGATCAACGCGAAGGATTAATTGTCAGCCAGAATTGTCTTTTACAGGACGATCGTGTCGTTGTTCCATCTCAGTTCCGTAAGCAGATCCTTGAGGAGCTCCATTTTGGTCACCCGGGCTGCACCCGTATGAAGCTTCTTGCTCGCAGCAAAGTCTTCTGGCCCGGAATCACTGCTGACATCGAGCGAACCGTCAAAATGTGCAAAGCTTGCGCGACAAATGCTAGGACGCCCATCAAATGCTCGCTACAACCATGGCCAATTCCAACGAAGCCATGGTCTCGCATCCATGCCGACTACGCGGGTCCCGTCAATGGCGCTTATTACCTAGTCATCGTTGATGCCTTCAGCAACTGGCCAGAGATCTTCGAATCCGCCTCAATGACATCTGTCAAGTCCATCGAAATGCTCAGAGAGACATTCGCTCGGCACGGCCTCTGCGATACGCTCCTCACAGACAACGGACCTCAGTTCACCGCGCAGGAATTCAAAACTTTCTGTGAACAATCAGGCGTTGAACATATCCTAACAGCGCCTTACCACCCTCAGTCAAATGGTAGGGCTGAGCGTTTCGTCGACATCCTCAAGACTGGACTGGAAAAGGCAACTAGAAACGCTGACCAGAAGCTTCGAGAGTTCCTCACTACCTACCGTTTCACACCGTCTTACAAGCTCGGCAATAAGTCCCCGTCCGAGTTATTGAATGGCCGCACCATGAAGACTCGCCTCGACTTGCTTCACCCTCAAGAGCAACCGTCCTCTCAGCGTGACACAATACTGGCCCGTCAGTTTGACCGAGCTCACGGAGCGCGCTGGAAGGAATTCGTAATTGGTGCAAGTGTCTACTACCAGCTACACAAAACCAACACAGATTGGCAATGGACGCCAGCGATAATCGTCAACCGTCTAGGCACCGTCAACTACACGATCAAACTTGGAGACGGACGAGTCATCAAAAAGGTACATGCGAATTAGCTCAAATTGCGTCACACACCAAACGAAATCATTGACGCATTTGGCCTCAACGACATCTCAGACACCGACATCGAGCCAATTATCATTTCCCGGCCTGAGCCCGAACATCCACAGACAGCAGCTCATGTGGACTCCGATGATGCCAACACCTCGTACGAAAGTGCCCAAGATGAAAGCAGGGAGAACATCGTTACACCCGCTGAACTAGGACCACGCCGGTCATCTAGAATCAATGCTGGTGTTCCACCTCAGCGCTTCGGATACGAATAGAGGATTTAGCGGGGAGGAGTGTGGAGATAGAACAGCGCGCTACGGCACTGTCTCCGAACAGAGTCGGGCGCGCACGAACCGGGGCGAGAAGGGGAAAGAAGAAGGACGACCGAAGGGAAAAAGTGCGGTGCGAGACAACGTGGTGTGAAAGTAACGAGCAGGCGTTTTGTGCAAGGACAATTACAGATTATTTTAACAAGAGAAATTCCCTGGCGTTACTCGCATTCGCGTGAGAGCAAGGATTTCTCAATAACGTCATAATAAAATTATATATGGGTGTAACATTTTGTATAAAAGAGATTAGAAACTACGAGAGTTAAAATATGCAGTCTGTATGTATATTCGCGTACAGTATATGCCAGTGAAATACATAAAAAAAGAAAAGTAAGCTATATTTATTAAACGTAGCATTTAGAATATGTTTACTATAATTTTTAAATTATCATTACCCTTACATATATTTGTATTAATTATTATATCTTTTAGATAGTTTTCATTGTTTTTCTTATTCTTTCTAGCAGCGCGAAGTGTTTTTACATAAAAAATTTTTCTATTTAAATAAACTTTTTTCATTTTGTTTTTAAAAATTAATTGTGATATAATTTTTTTAAAGAAGAATTGAATCACTTGGTTTCGAATAGGAAGACCTTTTAATAAGAGTACAAAGGCATATACTTAGGTTTCATTGTATGAACATAAAGATAATTCCATTTAGGTTTTACTTTTTAATTTAGTGGAATTTAAATAATAGTACTATATGGGTTCTTAAAGATTAAAGGTACCACTTGTGTTTTACTTTTTGGTAGAATTTAACTTGGCGCCGACTGTTGATATCAAATCTTGTATACAAATGATCAGTGGCGTAGCGTGGACTAATATAGACGTGGGCGAAGTCGCATCAGCGAGGCCCCTTTTCTTTCGTTCCCAAGATCTTTCCAATAAATCTATCTTACCACTCATGACAGTGAAAAAGTATAAATGCGCGGTGGGAGAATATTGAAAAGCATATAGATTTGAAAAAAAGTTTTATTTTTTACAAAAGTAATGTTCTTCGGTGTTTTGCTTTACTGAAGTCCTCTAGTAAAGATTTGTAATCAATTTTTGCTGCTAAATCTGCTTCGATAGAGAGCAATGCTAACCCAGACAATCGCTCCTGCTTCATACTGTTTCTTAAGTAGTTTTTAATAATTTTTAACTTAGAAAAACTTCTTTCTGCGGAAGCTGGCATAGTCAACATAATTCTAATAGCAATGTAAACATTAGAATAGATGTCTTCCAATTTATTTGTTACTATGTATTGAATCATCTGATGCAGCCGCCCGAATATGCTATTAAGCGACTCACTCACTCAAGTCACACGCGCCAAGTTTAAATAAGCAAAAGGCTACCATGTCTTTAATTCTTTATAAAGCGTAAAACTGGGAGTTATGTTTTGTTATTATTATCTATTTCAGGTTTAGGTAAAACTATATTTTCAGTTTTGTTTTGCCATTATTTGAAAATAATAACTACAGGCCACAAACAAACACGGTTTTAAAAGAGACAAAATTTTTTGGTACTTTAATCCAAAAAAATACTACATGTTGAAAGTTTCATTGATATACTATTTGAAACAGACGAATGTTATTCTATATCTATATATACTTCTGTTCTGATATATATAGATATACCGTATCATGTGTATCCGCCAATTCCGCGTCCGCAGATCCGCTCCATCTGAAGGCACCCTCACTGTTTTGTATTTTAAGTCTAGTGGCATCGCATCTAAAGAGGCCTCGCGTGGCCCCTTTAAGTGCGAGGCCGTGGGCGAGGGCCCACTTCGCCAACGCCTAGTTACGCTACTGCAAATGATAAATGTCATTAAAATTAAGTAAGGAATAAGGTAGAATAACTTGGCGCCGACTGTTGATATCAAATCTTATATACAAATGATACATGTCATTGATTTAAGTAAATAATAAGGATAATACCACGTAGGTTTTTAAAGATTAGAATTTAACTTGGCGCCGACTATTGATACTAAATCTTTTATACAAATGATACATGTCATTAGAATTAAGTAAATAAGGATAATATCACGTAGGTTTTTAAAGATGGTTCTACTAAACAGCAAATGTGATTGGTCAGTTTCACAGTCGATTAAGTAATTGACGTTGGTGAAACTGGCCCAAATGGTTTTTTGACCAGCAGCACCCACTCTTAGCGCTTTTTCCTACCTTTTTTTTTAAAAGGTAAGTTATATGTACATACAAAAGATATATGTCATTAGAATTAATTAAGTGTATATGGATGGTGCCTCTTAGATCTTTAGAGATAGAATTTTTAAAGACTAGTTAATTAAACGATATATTTTATGGGAAAAATCCATATTACATGACAAGATAGTGAAATAAAAGAAGGAAGGATGTGCAATGTTAGAATTTAACTTGGCGTACAAATGATAAGTGTCATTAGATTTAGGAAAATAGTAAGATAAAAAAAACAATAGTTCCCTTCTCTTCTTCTTCAGTAATACTCAACAGTTCCGAACTTTCTGATTTGACTAAGTCTAACTGGAACATGTACTTGAATACCTCATTATGTATGCCAAGGATTTTTATATAGATATTGATTTCTATTTCATTATCTTTCAGTAATAAAATGTATTACGTTACAATAAACAATTTGGTATAAGAATTCTATTAAAATTAATACTGATCTTTTGTGATTTATTTTTGAAATATAAAAAATTATTATTTTGATCTCTCACCTAGAACACTATATTTGATTCAAGATTTTGAAGCACATGTGTGTGAGTTACAGTTTTCAATCACGTGCATCTTCATAAAGTATACATTTTCAAAATATTATTCTCATTCATAATTAATATTGTGAGGAACGATTGTTCTGTTAATCAATTTCGTAGTAACATTATACCAAAACAATTATTACGTCTATTAGTATATTTGATTATGTATATGTAAAAGATTTTGACATTGGAATTAATAAATATTCACTTCCATTGCATTATCTTGCAATAATAGAATGTATTATGTTAAAATATTTTAGAGAAAGTCAATGTAGATATACTGGAAAAGCACCGTTCGGATACTATCACCAAGAAAGAGAAATCATAATAAAGTTCTTAATACTGAACATTAGAAAGAAACATACAATAACGAACTTGAAGTCATATCACAGGTATAACAAGCTACGTATAATTAACTTTATAATAAACGTACATAAAAATGAACAGATATTCTTCTTTTACATCATTTATGCTTTTTTCTAATGTTTAGTATTAAGAAATTATCATGATTTCTCTTTTTTGGTAATGGTATCCGAACGATATTTTTCCAGTATGTCTACATTGATGTTCTCTAAAATATTTTAACGTGATATATTTCATTATTGAAAAATAAAGCAATGAAAGTGAATATGTATTTATTCCAATGTCAAAATATTACATACGTATAATCAACTATGCTAATAAACGTAATAAATTCTTTTGGTATAATCAGAACAATCGTTTCTCACGATATTAATTATTAATTAGAATGATAATTTGTAAACGTATACTTATGAAGATATACGTCATTGAAAACTTGTTAACTTACACTCCAAAATCTTGAATCAAATATAGTGTTCTAGTTGAGAGATCAAACTATAATAGTTTTTTATATTTAAAAAAGAAATCACAAAAGAGCAGTATTAATTTTAAAAGAATTCTTATACCAAATTATCTATTTTAAAGTAATACATTTTATTATTGAAAGATAATGAAATACCATGAAAAATGACTCATATATTATTGAAGGTGCCAGGTTCATCAAAGTAAACATACACCAACAGTTGCCAACTTTACGTCTGACTTGAATACCTCATTATGTATGCTAAGGTTTTTTACCATTTCATTATTTTCCAATAATAAAGATGTATTACGTTAAAGTAGACAATATGGTAAAACAATTTAATAAGAATTCTTTTGAAATTAATATTGATCTTTTGTGATTCATTTTTAAAATATAAAAACTGTTATTTTGATCACACAGAACACTATATTTCATTCAAGGTTTTGGATTACATAAGAATTCTTTTGAATTAATACTGATCTTATGTGATTCATTTTTGAAATCTAAAAAACCGTTATTTCTATCTCTCACCTAGAACACTATATGTATTTGATTCAAGAGTTTGGAGCACATGTGTGTGAGTTAACCAGTTTTCAATCACGTGTATCTTCATAAGCATACATTTACAAA